CTCTGGATGAGCTTAACCTCCTGTCACTTCGTGAAGCTCTGGATGAGCTTAACCTCCTGCCTCTTCGTGAAGCTCTGGAAGAACTGTCTCTCTGGCAACCTGTCTCTGGCCTGCAGCTCTGGGAGAGTTGCATCATAGGAAGCCAGTCCCAAGCCTGACGCTCTAGGAAAGCTAACCAGCTAATCTGCCCTGGTGAGCCAACCCAAGAAATCCTACATGGATGCTACCTGCTGACTTCCCTGTGGAGTTTTCCCTAAGAGGTTCCCATGTGGATATCCCCTGTTGTTTCCTGTCATCCAGCCATTCCCCGTTCCCTGCACAGACTCCAGTGAACCACCCCCCTGAACCATTCCAGTCCCAGTGTTTTCTGTGTGTATTTGGACTTATTAAACATTTTGCACTTTTCCCCTGTCTCCTCCGTGTGTGTTCTGCATCTTGGGCTTGACTCTCTAGTGCCCATCATGACAAAAACAGAATCAAAAGTAGTCTTTATATGTATCCAGGATAGAAAATCCCTTTATTGTCTCACAAATGGGAAATTGTGGTGTTACTTTAGCAAAAGCATTACAACAAACATGATCTCACAAATATGGACTTTAAATGTATATAAAAATAATATAAAAATAAATATATACAAAAAATGTATTTCATGTATATGTTGTGATGTTTACCTGTTGATTATGAATATGCAATTAACTAGAGCTTGGAGTTGTAGTTAATCTATAAATCATTCATAATTGAGGGTAAAACCAATTGAATGTTCTTAGTTGAATAATTTTAACTGCAATCCTCTTACTCACCAGGATTTTGGTGCCTCTCACTCTGGGTGTCTTCTGGACCAGCTGTTAAAATCCAGTTATTTTAGGCCTAGGCTAGGCTATCAGCAGAGTTATTAATTAACAACCAAAGAACTTTGTTTCTATTTATTGAAATGTCACCAAAAGGAGGGTTTCTAACAGTCAAGGATCATAGGAAATCTAACCCATGCAAACACACACTACTAGAAAATAAACATGAGGTAGACTAATTTAATAATTTGGAAAGAGGGGAGAAATGGGTCTAAGAGTTCATTTAAATGGCTCCAAGGTAGGCCAAATGTCAATACATTCAATAATGTCTGTTCAGAGTTAAAAACAGCATGAATTCATTCAGCTTACAATGGTTAATTTTTAAAAATGTATTAACAGTACAGCATTATAGCACTTTGGCAAATCTGGATTCATCTAAATAAGATAGAGGGGCGGGGGCATTTGCTAAGATCGGAAGTCATAAAGAAGATGGCAAACCCCTACCCTGCGGTCAAAGTAGGTGGAGTGCGAAAGCTAAAAAATAAAAAACAAAAAATACTGGAGGTTGTGAATCTCACAAAATTATTATGTGACCTAAACGGGAGGGTTGGACTACAAATATGGGCCTACATTAGGTTATGATACCCGTAAAATGGCTGCTCCTATCCTATGAATAAAATGAGGGGTGTACTATAAATAACAGCACAATGGTCTGGGTTTTGTTTTGGGATCCAAAGCATCGCAGGCCAAGCCCGTTGTATCTTCTAGAAGGAGCGTGTGTAGCACCGCAGTCATGGAATGTGCATTAATAATTTGGTCAGCTGTGATCTTCCTTAAAGAGACATGATTCTGGTAACAAGACGTTGGGATCCGGAGGCTTGCCCACCAGAGGGCGCCGAGGATCCCTTCCTGAGGGCTTGTGCTCACCTGCAACACCTGTCTTCCATCTGCTCATCAAGAGGACTCTTACTTAAGGAGGAGGAGACTGACACTCCAGCGCCAGAGTGTTTGCCAGTAATGGTTAGCAGAATCTGAGCCAGCCTGCCTGATTTAAGACCCTGTCTTTGTGAAACCTGTCTGACCCTGTTTTCCCCTGTCTCTCAGATCCTGACTCGCCTAAAAACCAGAAAAACTTTGGAGAGAAACCACGGCTTGCAATCTGCCTGCCTGCACTAAGTCTGAGTCTCTGCCTCTGCCCATGCCTAGATTCTGCCTGCCAGCACTCAGTCTCAGTCTCTGCCTCAGACCTCAGTCCTCAGCCTGCCGAAAAGCCTCTGGACTCACAAGGTTCCCCCTGTGCAGATCTGAATCCCTTCTCTCAGCCAGAAACCTGCCTGCCTGCATTCTGCCTCCGTCTCAGCCTAGCCCTCAGTCCTCAGCCCACTGCCTGCCGATAAGCCTCTGGACTCATAGGGTTCCCCCCACCTGCTGATCAGTTCCATCTCTAGCAGTGGAGATCCAGCCGTGACCAGTCTGACCACCCCAGTTCCTGTTCACATTTTATTTACACTTTAGTCAATAAACCTTTGAACTTTCTCCTAACCTCCGTGTGTTTCTGCATATGGGTTAGACATCTAAATCCCATCATGACACAAGGGGGGTTGGTTTCCACTCTTCTACTCTGTAGAACAAACAAAAATCCAATTAACTCAAAAGCACTTTATTAATCCCAAAAGGAAGTTAAATGTTGAACTAACTTATAGGGTTGTTTTTGTTTGTCTTTTTTGTTTTTTCTTTTAAACCAGTTGTTGCCTACAGCTATCAATGCCTTCTGTAGAGGTTTTTATTGCACAAGATCTGGAGAAGCCTCTTAACGAAGACAGTTTGTTGATGTCTAAATATGTTTTCTGAAGAAGATGCTCACTGTTGTCCACAATGTTTTTGACTTAATTTAGAATTTTTCCATGTGAAATTGTCTCCAGAGGTTTAGAGGAGTTCTTAGAACATCTTCTTTATTAGCTTGCTGAGCATTATCACTGTTACCCCAGAAGAGGACGGAAGAAGAGATCACTCTCTCCACAACAAACTTTTAGAAGATATGTACCATCTTGCTGCAAACACAGAAGGACATAAGCTTCCTTAGAAAGTACAGTCTGCTCTGTCCCTTCTTGTAGAGCACTTCACACTTGTGTCTCCAGTCTAGGTGGCTGTCCAGGTGAACACCAAGGTATGTATACTCCTCCACCACCTCCACTTCTTCTACCATGAAGTTGAATAGGATTCAACTTTTTCCTGTTTGTTCTTAAATCTAAAATCTTTTCTCTTGTTTTGTTGAGATTTAGGATCAGATGATTTTTTTTTCCACACCATGCCACAAAGCAGTTAACCAGTTCTCTGTACTCAGCTTCTTGTCCATTCCTGATCCATCCAATGACTGCAAAGTCATCCCAGTATTTCTGCAGATGAGAGGACCCTGTCTGATCCTGGAAGTCAAAGATGTACAAACGTTAAAAGGAACAGTGAGATTATTGTCCCTGGTACTCCTGTGCATTTGAAGGTCAAAAGTCAAATGATGGTGAAGAGGATATATTTTTCAATCATAATATTATACTATAAAAGTATACAAAATACCACCTTGTGAAGAAAGCTTGTATCTGAGAACTTGTTTTTTTTATACACGATCCAAATATCATGACCGTGACCAACATCTGTTCCAAATGCCTCCATCCCATTATGCCTAAATCGGGAGGTGTTCCATGCGCGTACCACCCAGAGGAGGCCAAGGGGACGACTGAGGACATGCTGGAGAGACTATGGGCCGGATCTATCAAAGGTTTGCGTGTATTAAAACGTGAGCTATTTCACTGCGCACGCTAAAAAATGTACAAACTGATCTATCAACAGCGTGCTAAAAGGATTTGGTCTTTAAAAAGTGCTAAATAGCGCCTCTTATCCATTTAGTACTTTTTCTGCAATGAATATGCAATATGGGGCGTTTACACGCAAAAGTGCATCTTGTGGGAGGAGAACATGTAAATATATTAATTTAGCACTCGCAAAGTGATTTATCAAACCTGAAAGCAATTTTGCTAACGGTATCTGACTCTATATTTAACACGTTTCAAAAGAAGGTGCAAATGGTCTGTATGCGTAATTGCGCACACATGGCAGCGGTTATTGTCGCAAGAAGGAGACATGGAAATAAAGCAAGGAGACGCAGAGAACGCATTTTTTCACTCCGTGTGAATATTTTTGGAATGAACGAGGAAACGATCATCAAAACATATCGTTTATCCAGCATTGCCATTTTGGAGCTGTTGGGGGAACTCTGAATGGATTTGGAGCCAGCCACAAGGAGGACCCACGCAATACCAGATATCACAAAACTCCTTGCAACATTGCACTTTTTTGCTTCTGGGTCATTCCAGCGTACGGTTGCAGCGTGAGCTGGGATCTCCCAATCTCACCAGTTACGCAATCACTCTTGTTAAATCACCCGCAAACCATGGTTCAGCCCCTCGCGCAAAATTCCAGTTTGCGAGCGCAAATTACTGCACGCAAAATTTGATCTTGATAAATCCGGCCCTATGTCTCTTGGTTGTCCCCAAACAACCTCAGGCTTCTCCAAGAGACGCAGGAGGAGGTGTCTTGGGAGAGGGAATTCTAGGAGTCTCTACTGTCACTGTGATTTGCAGGTGTAGGGCTGTTGCTCGTTCTTTTGAAAAAATTATTTAATTATATTTCATAGTTGCAGGGCTGTCAACTCTCACCCATTGGGCGTTAGACTCCCGCATTTCAGTGTCTTCACACGCTCTCACTCTTGATCCCAAATGTTTCATGCTAAAAATTGACGGACATTAAAGCCCAACTCCATTCCACTCATTAATATATATAAATACCATGCTGATCAAAATCCAGTCAGCGTTTTCAACTCAACCTTAGTACAAACACACAAGGACATGCCAGGTAATCTGTGCAGCAGCAGCGGAGCTGGATATTTTAAAAAAAGTAAATGTGAATAAAATGATCAATGTGGAGACTGAGGGTAGGAATAAATGGTTTGTTTTCTCTACAGCTAGTGCTTTTTTTTTATTAATCTTTAATTCTCGTCTGCTCTAGTTTAGCCACCTGATTTAGTGCCAGTTTTAGTCCATGTTTTGCTCACAAGGTAAATAATTATTGCTCAGTCTAGTCAAATAATCTCCTGTTGGATTTTAGGACTAATAAAACCAACACAAATCTCTAAAATCTTAAAGCCTTCAGGTATGCCTCACAAACCCATACAAGGTCCACAAAGAAGAAAACCACTGCATTTTATTTTTAAAAAGGTCTGCCACCCAAGAAAAGACCTACCACATTCAGAGAGGATGTGCAGAACAACTGACTTGTCCAGGATTGATATAGGAGGAACAACAGGGTGTTCTAATTTTAGCATCTACCAAAAAGAAACATTGATAGAAATGCTGTCTTGTGTCATTGTCAGGATTTGTTTGTGGATAGAGGACCCAAAAGCAGAGGCAGGAAGGCAGAGGTGAATTTATAGTTGATTTAATGATGAGTTACTGTTAACAGAGGATGGTTATCCAAATAAGAAACTAACAAAGTCCAAAAACAAGCAGGCAACCAGGAATCCAAAATTCAAAAATGTAAACAAAGTCCAAAACAAACAAGATACCAGGAGTCCAAAAAATTAAAAATACAAAACATGAAAATAAGTTAAAACGAACCAGAAACCATGTAGACATCAGGGGAATTACTGTAATCAGGGGGAAGGCTCAGAGAGACGATTTAAAGGAAGATTGACGAGTACCCAGCAAACAAGAACTGAAGAGTGAGAGCATTTAAAGGAGACTGAAAAAAGAGAGGACTAATGAGCAGATTGGGAACAGGTGAGCACAAGGCAGGAGAGGAGAAGAGCATAGGAAAAAGAAGAACACAAGAGGGCAGCAGAGGGGAACAAAAAAAAACAAACTAGAAAGCTGAAAACAACCAGAAAGCACAACAAAATAAGAATTAGAGCACTAAGAACATAAAACATGGAGCAATGTAAAACTGAAAACTCAAAATAAAAACAAAACAGACTGAAACAGTAACTAAGAATAAACCAGAGAACACAGCAAAATAAAAACAAAACCACTAACACTAGAAAACAAGGAGTAAAGCAAAACTGAACACTAAACAGAAAATATAACAGAACCAAGACTTAGACAGTAACTGAGAAAAACAGGAACACAACAAAGACTGAGGAACACAAAAAATAAGAATTAAACCATAAAAAACCTATAAAACAAAGAGCAAAGCAAAACTGAATATCAAAAGAAAAGCATAACAGAAACAGAAACCTAACAGTCATAGTGAGTTTTTATAGAATCTACAGCCTCATAGAAGGTCTGAATTGTCAATTGTAAAAATCTAAAAAGATAAAGAGTTAAGATTTTTAATCATTAGCCTATTACCAAATATTCATACACAGTGTAGTTTTCACGGTATTCGATTACACTGATTCCTGTATTAGTGCCAATAATCCAGTAATAACTCATTTGTTTC